ATCGCCGCTTGCGGATCGAGGTGCCGCCGCGCGAAATTCATTTTCGGTTATAATAAGGCCGAAAAAACCCTAATCGCCGTTGCGACCGACCTGTTGAACTCCATATTTATCGAATGCCATATAGCCTTTGCACAGAAATGAGAATATGCATTAAGAACTTATTGCAAAGTGTGTGTATACAAAGTGCATATATTAATTTATTTAATTTATTATAATTATAGATGACATAATTTAATTAGCAAAACTTAGTCGTTGAAAATGTAACAGTCTTGTGGAAAACGTCTAATCTCTTTACTAAAGATTTAATGAGTTTAATATTGGGTCGCGATTTAGAAATTAATAAGAGCCTAATATTGAAGTGATTCTAATTAATTAAAATTGAGGGTGACTTATAGTCACAATGTACAATAGAAGACAACTATGCTGTGTCTCTGCATTTGTTTTGAGATAATGCGATAACTCTGCGATATGCACATTTAACAAGTGCATATATCGACATTTCGGACATATCGAAGGGCGCGCATTATGAAATATGAGTGTCACGACTGATTTATCGGCAGAAAAGTGAGAGGAAATCGGAGATGAGCCCTTTCATACGATCCCGATTCCGAGTCTTTCGAATCATCGAAACCGGGGGCGGCGAGACTCGTCATCACGCGTGCAAGAGCTACATCCCGACATTTCGAGCCCACCCCATTAGCGGCACCCTCGGTGCTAAGCTCCCTTAAGCCCTACTAGCACATAATAATAGTCCATAGAACAGGTACCACCATATGTCTGGTCCACCCGACCCATTGTCAACACTTCGGGCTGGTCGTGTTGCACTGCGTACGCGTGCTCGAGGCTCAACAAGCGGAAAATACGTCTATCTCGAGATGGCACGATGTCCATTTCTTTCCTAACGACAATATAAAAGCACGATACCTCAAAAGTTACAGAAGTGTGTCGAATGACTCCAGATTAATTTTATCGCGTTCTTTTGTAGAACATCGTCATTTGCGTGTCGAAATAATATTTACTTCTTTTTATTATAAAACATTATTAATCGATTACTATACATTGTTTTGAACAAAGGTTTAATACAATTTTGATAATGCAATAAATTTGTGTGTGTAGGCTAAAAACAAGAGAAACAACCAGTACCAATAAATAATGGTATGAAATACGAAAGGAAGTTACTGAAGTTTCCAGTGTAATTTTGAAGTTAGCGGTGGAAGAGAGATGTTACTCAGAGTTAATATTTCATGATTTTTTTTCTGATTCGAATCACAAGTGCGCTTCGATAAAACCATAAACTTATTGCTCGCTAATTTACTTCTTATTTAAATAATAACGCAGGATGCGCAATGGACTTTGACTACAGTTCTCGGCAAAGTGATATGCGATACTCACCGACGGTGGTGGTGGCCCCGACGCTGCTTCTACCGGGCGTCGCGGCGGGCGTCGGCGGGCTCGCCTCGAGGCCCTGATGCACCCCGTACAGGCCGAAGTCCTGCTCATTCGAGCTGGCGCTACTGCACTTCCTCTTCTCCTGATTGTGATTCAGATGAAAGCTGTCGTTCTCGACCAGGCCGACGCCGAGCAGACCCAGATTCGGCCTGAGCTCGTCCATCAGCTTGTTCTGGCCGCAATTGGCAGCCGCCGCCGCGGAGAAGTTGAGCTGACGGCTGAAGATCGCCGGGAATATGTTGAACTGCTGGTGGTCGAGGCTGAGGGCGGTCGTCGGCAGGGACGAACCGCCGCCGCCACCGCCACCGCCGCCGCCGCCACCGACGGAGGTACCACCGACGGAACCGACGCCGCCCGCACCGGGACCCCCGGTACCTCCGGACAGATCGTTAGCCAGGGTGATGCCGGGGTGACCTGGTTGAGGTAGCGCGTAGCTGGAAGCACCTGAGCGAGCACTCGACCACCTACGAAGACATCTTCCGACGCGAGTCTACGATGAGGGCGCGCCGCGTCCGCCCTGCGGATACGCACTATGTTATTTTCCCTTCGAGCACCGGCGCGCCGAGAAAGCGTCGAGAGAGCCCCGGTGGTTATCCTAGAGATTCGTTATCCTCCGCGGCGAATGGTGACTTTAACGAAGGGCTGGGTCGCGAGTCGCGAAAAAGACTCTTCTTGCCGTTCACCTTTTAAATTCTTCAAAACAGTTCACCCTTCGAGTTAGTTACAACGATTTGAAGGAAGAATATGTCTCGTTTGCGCTGTTATATTTTTATTAATAGTCCGGTTGGGCGACTTTAGATACTTCCCTCTTCTTGAACATTCTTCTCGAAACACTTGTGCGTCGCGCGCCTTCGATATCACTATCGTTGAAAGTTGTGGTATTTGTTATCGTGTAATTAGTATCGATGCAGCATCCATTTATCGACTAGTTTGAAGGATTAGATTCAAATAATTACGAAAAATATTGCTTATCGATTTAGATTAGTCCGTGTTTCAACTGCTGGCTCAATCTCCGTGATCTTCGAATATCAGAATTACACGTCTCTCAGAGGTTTGATAATCAATATTAAATGAACTTCGACACGGTATTATTAATCTTCGTAAAAATTTACAGGCAGCAATGGATTCTCACAACAGTTAATCTTATCTGCTAGTAACAACTTAGTCCATATCCAACTGACGGTCCATTTTGTATCTAACAGAATGGACATCTACGTCGGAGATTATTTACTAATAAGGATTAATTAGTCCGAATATACTTCAACTATGCTCTTTTCAAACAACTGTAGTTCCTGATGCACTTGTGACAAACGTAGACACGCGTTTCTTGTATCTTCACTTGAGAACGCGATTCTTCTCTTCGTGATGCCCTTTTGGAAGATGTCCACGTCGGTTTCTTCAAGAACTGTTCAGTTAAGAAATCCAATTCGAAGACACATGTGTAACATCAAAGACACGCTCTTCTTCGTTGATAACCGCCCGTTATTTGAAAGTCCATTCGATATTGCTCCTTGGATGTATCACGTACGTGAATAATTAGAACAAGTTCACGATACCACGTTCCAGGTTTCGTGAATCGCGGAGGACACACGAGTCGCGGCAGATGATCGACGCGAATCTGGAATTCGGCCGCGATTCAAATCCGATTATCTCGTCGATCCAATTAGAAGGGTGCGCGGACCCCCGTGAGGGGGGAGGCAGAGGCTTCGTTTCGTCGAACGCGCGTTCGCGATCAGCTGGCCTTGAAAATTCGAATATCGGAGTAATTGGCGAGAAATGGCTCGGTGTGAGGAAATGGCGCGCACCGCGGGACAACGTACGACGACGGCGACGAGAACGAGGACGAGGACGATGACGACGCCGACGGCGAAAACGAGGACGACGAAGGCGACGTGCACGACGCGCCCTTCCGTCCTTTCTTCCTTCCTTCCTTCTTTCCTTCCTTCCTGCGAAGGACAACGCGGTGGGAAAACCCGGAGACGACAAGAGCGGAGAGCGAGTCAGAGGGGGCGACTGCTCGCCGTGAGTTCTTGTGGGATTCTGTCCGCGAAATGCAGTTATCCCGGTGACTCCGCGCGGGGGTGAGCGAGCAGAGTACGCGTACGAGGGGGTTGCCTGCCTGCCTGCCTCTCGGCCGCCGTCGTCGTCGCTTGTGGTAGGGGTTTGTTGCTCGTAACCGGTCGCTACCACCCGCGCGCGCTTCCCTCTCCCTTCGGCCCCCCGCCCGCCCGCGTTCTCTGCCCCCGCACGTCGCCGCCGTCACCGCCGCCGCTACCCTCGGCGACGCGAGGGTGCGAAGAGCCTGGCGGACGCGCTGGATTGGCCCGACGGAGGGTACGTCGCCCGGGCGACGGCCAATCGCAGGGGTCGTCGGGATGCCCGCGGCGACCCCACCGCCGCCGCCAACATGGCGCGCGTACCAATAAAAATTCCTCCAGAAAATAGCCTGCGAGCGATTTTCTTTCCGGGGCCACCAGCGTGTAGCGCTTTTCCGACCACGCACACGCTTCATCCCAGTCACCAATACGCGCGCTGGGAGGGATATGGCGTAGGAGAGATCCTGCTCGCCATCCCCTGTCCTCGTCGTCTCTTTCCCACCCTCGAGCCTCCATCCGTCTCTCTCATCCCATCTCTCTATCTTTCCCTCCGTCTCTCTTTCTCTCTTCTCTCCTCTCTCGTTCTATCGCGCGCTGTTCTCTTTCTCTCTTTCTCTGCCTTTTTCTCTCTTCGCGGCGGCGCCCCTTTTCCTCCGCGCGCGCGCGGGCGCGCTTTCGCGTGCACGTTGCTCTCGTCTTCGTTTTTATTATCTCGCGGCAGATAGCTTTTTTAATTCTTTTCCCCCCCTTTTTCGGGGATTTGATTGTAATGTACACCCACGCCTCTGACCCACCTGCGTGCCGCACGTATATATAGCCGCGCCGCGCGCGGCGGTGGCGCATCGTTTGCGCCGTGAGATGCATTCGGCTCGGCGCTCTAAATGTCTTTGTGTATCTCGCGCCCCGGCTTTTTCGGAGGATTTGTAATTTGGAGACTCGGGGCTCCGCTCTCTATCTTTCCGGCTCCCCGACTCTTTCACACCGCTGCACGTTCCGTTTTTCTTGTTTTTTTTTTTTTTGCGTCGGGCTGCGGTAGATTGCGTTTCTTGATTTCCTCCCTTTTTCGAGATTTCGTCGAGATCGCCCGAGCTCGCGTAGTTTTGACAGATTTGGCTTTGTAAATCTCCGCAGGATCGCTATAGCGGTTATAATTCCATTTTTTTTAATCCCTCTAAATTCTATCGATAACAAATTTTTATTTATTGAGAAAGATACCGAATTGTTTGCCATTTCTATGTATTTCTGGTCTTATACTCCTAATATACATTTTTATGTTACTGAAATTGAAAATCTTACATTAATGATAACTCTCGACATGATAGTCGATAAAATTTATATAGGACATCAATACAATAATATTAGTTCCCGCATCGTTTCTCGTAGACCCAAAATTTAATTCAATTGTGTGTCTCTCTAGATTAGTAGGAAACTGGTCGTTAATAAGGGAATATCCGTGAAACTCTTAGGGGCGCAAATTATGCCGAGCAGCATGGATCATCTATTCTGCAATGGTTGCGCGTTCGCCACGTCCTCATTCTCGTTCCGGCGCGGGCGTCCCTTCGCGATTTGCATCGTCATAGCTGTCGGCATTTCCATTTTCATTTCTGGCTTTCTTTGCGCCGGAGCTACCTTCACTTTGTCTCACCGGTGGATATCATTTTTAAGTCCCTCCCCTCCCCCCCACCGTCTCTCGCGCGCGCCTTTGTGCGTTTCTGCTTTCCTCTACTCTCGTCTGTTTTACTTTTTCTTTCTTTTTTTTCCTCTTTTTTCCGCTTTTTTTCTCTCCTCTCTTGCCTTTCTTTGCGGCGCGCATTTTCTTTTCTCGCGAGCGCGGCGGAATATGCGCGCTCGCGAGAGCCGTCGCGTCGTTCGTCTCCTCGCTCTTCGATTTTCCGCGAGTCCTTCGTCCTTGCGACCTCCTCGAGGCGTCCCCCGGCGCAACGAGACGGGGGCCCACGAGAGAACGAGAGAGGATTTCCTCGACCGCGCCGAGGGAGATCGATGAGCTCTTCTCCGCGCCGCGAGATCGAACGGAGCGGCGAAAAGGGAGCACGACGAAGAAATGTAAAGTTTCGAGAGCTCATTCGCGGAGCGTCGGCGTCTCGGAAGTTGCGCGGCGCGCTTTCAAAGGCCCGGCTACCGTTTTCATTGAACTGACAAAAGTCAATTTGCTGGCTTCGCGGAAACTGGGCCACCGACATTGCGCAGCTTGGCCAAACCGAGATAAACAACCATTTCGCGATTTGGAAAAAAACACGGAAAGAAAGAACGGACAGGTTAAAATCCTCTAAAAATCTCTTTAACTCTAAAACAGGGATGTTTAAAAGTATTTTTGAATGTCTCATATTATTACTACTACTACGTCTAATTATAATAAGGCTAGATAAGCAGTTGCAAATGAAAAAAATATATTTGACACAGATATAAAAATTGCAGCAAATCCAATTTACATCTTCGACACGAATAAACTTAGAGAATAACTTTTTCTATCGGCCTTTTGCATTAAAGTCTAAACTGAAGGCCTAAACTTATCGATATTATATCAGTTTCAATATACTTGCTTGAGAACAAATATGCAGCAATATTTTGTTTTTTCCCTCTCTATTTAATTTAGTTAAAACTTAAAACATTCTAAAATTTTTTAAACGCAAATATAGAATAAATGTAGTGACGTAATTTTAAACTGTCATTTGATGAAAATGTTATGTTATAAGATTACGAATGAAAAACAAAGGTGTATAATTAATAGATATTGCACTTTCTATCCAATTTTTATTTATACAATTACATGTATGTGTCTCCGATAATCTAGTATTTCTTTTAACTAATGATACATCATACCTAGGTTTGGGCGCCCTTGTTAAAGGTATTCAATGAAAACGCGACGGAAACATGCGGTGCCAGAAAAGTCGTCGCGTACGGATCAAAGCCGGCAATTTTTCGATGTGTGGATCCAAGGGTAGCTGGGCAAGGGGGTACCAGATCGGCAGGGCGTGGTCGAAATCTGTCACACTAGCCGCGAATAAACTACCCTGTAAGGAACGATATCAAACTTCAGAACGAAATATAATAGGGAACGTTTTATTCTCCGATAACTCTGACAGCGATTCTCGTCTGTTTTCAGCAACGTTTGTCATAGTTTCATGAACGTGTCCTGGAGCAGATATCGTGCCTGGCGCGAAATTCTTGAATTCTAGAAAGGAGGGAAGAAATTAATAAAATGTTCTTTAAAAAATGCGAATAGTTGCAGCAGAAAAAAATAATTTTTTACAGTAAAACTTGGATTGTATTATCATTTGCAATCAAAATGTAGAAATTATAGGAAAAACTAAATTTTATTTTATGTCCTTCTTTCAGTAAAAAAAGGAAAATATCTAATTAGTTACTATAACATCAAAATCCGCTATTAAAATGATCTTATTGCATAACTTGCAAATATTTGCTATTTATCTTCAGCTTGACATCCAAAACCGAATTATATCAGTCCTTAATAATTAATTAAATAACTCTCAATAAAATACTAAGAATTTCAAAATAAATTTGCGATTTATAATTTATATTATAATGGAATAAAATATCATAAAAGAGTGTTTCACTATCGGAATATTAAAATATGTATTGCTGTTTATTCGCAATTATGCTCCAGCTTCTAATCATATTTTTTATACACAATTTTTTCACGCAACACCTATATTCTTATTATCATTTACATAATGTCATTATACCAATTTGCGTAACTCCGTCATTCGAGTATTAACAAAAATTAAAATGTCAGAAATGAAGTGGCGCATATTTCCTCCGGTTCGCGACTTATCGCACGCGCGCCGCTAAAAATGTAACATATGCAAAAAATGTTGTAAATTTATTATAATGAATTTTACATTCGTCACGCTTTTATATGTTGTTATATTTTATATCTGTGATTACAGTTTTCCATGAGCCGACAATAACATAGCATTTTTCTGGAAATGTACAAAAAAAATATATATATGTATTATACAAATATTGTGTGACATAATTATATATACGTACATATATAACCAAGTACACTTTTGTAATTGTACATAGGTATATGTATATGTACGTGTGCACATGTGCTCCATTTGACATTAGTG